CCCCCCCCCCGCCCCCCTGAAGCACAACATCTGAAAAAGACACCCCATCCAGACCCCTCCCAGCATTTAGCATTTTAAAACTTACAACTCTCATGTCTTACATCTTTTCACAAAATGTCTAATTAAGATCAAGATGATTTGTCTTTAAATTATGCTTCAAGAATGAAATGAAAACATAAAATCCAAGGTCATATCTCTCCCTCTCTCTGGGATGGACCTTGCTTCGTCCTGATGCGCCTCACTCGTTCTTATCTTAACATTTATTGTAAGATATGAAATTTACTGCTCTATTCTTCTGCGACGGCGGAGAAAGTGATTTGAAAAGTCCTATAATCTGGGTGTAATCCCTGTCATTTAAAGCAGAACAGCTGCAGCAGTAATCTACATTTTATACAGATTCCTTGTATTTTCATCCACCCCATAAACAAAGAACAATGGGTTAAATATAGTTTATTGTGTGTCTGAAACCAGAAGCAGAGTTCATCCTGTTCATCTTCTGGTTGGGCCCTTCAGGTTTAGGTGGGACAGTTGACAGCACCCCCCCCCCCCCCCCCACACACACACACACACAAAAGGAGCCGGCAAACAGCTGGTCGTGCAGCATGATGTTGGAAAATGGCTTGAACTGACAGATGGAAACCATAAACAGTGAGTCACTCCCACCTAAACAGCAACACTAATAATCAGTTGAGGCATTAAGGGGATTTTCATCCCAACAAAGCAGCATGATCTCCACAGGAGGAATCCACTCCCCACAATTTTGTACATTAATCTCTGCTTGTATGAATTCATTGAGCATCTCTGCCTCATGATGATGATAAACCAGAATTATGACTCTGCTGTGAAGCTGCAAAATGTGCAACGAAGCTCCTAACTCTTGTAGGATTTATGTTTCTTGGTAAGAAGACAACAGAAAACCAGGAAGTCTACCTGGCATTTTAACAAATAGTTGACAAAAATGACTATCATCGTAACACTGATGACAGTAGAAGCTGGTCATGGATCCATAAGTGCAGTCAGCAAATATAAGAGCAGGATAAAGAACTTAGTGATGGTAATCCTCATGTCTGTGTGCAAAGGTCAGGGAAAAACTGTGCAGAGGTCAGTGGAAAATGACTCACACACACACATATATATATATAGTATACGCACAGCAACATGTAGCTCACTTATGGTAGCACTTTGTGCAGCAGAAGTGTGTGAATTCAGCACTAATTAGGTGTTAAGCTTCTGCCATTTKAAAGTGCAGATTGGTATTTAGTGCTTTAATGAAAGAACCTCACGTGTAATTMGCCTGATGTTGCAGATGGTTTAGTCAGGAAAGCTGAGTTTGGACAGCTGTAGCAAAGATTTGGAGCTTTAAAGTGGACAGATCCTGGCTACTCTCTGGAGTTCAACTGTTCCCTGATTCTGCTCAACCAGCCAGAATTCCTGGACTTTATGGGTTTAGTGCGCAGCAGATACTGTGCTGGATATGGTTTGGGGATGAGCGAGGGGCTTACTGGTTCAGCTTCACAGAGGGATGGCCGCATTACTGTTTCCCTATAAACACTTCAGCTAAAGCCCACCAGTGTCTCAAACTGCAGGGGAATTATACTAAAGTACTTGGTCATGAAGAGCTACAAAATCTCTTTAAKTTTAGAAATAATATCTAATAATATAATTACATAAAACCAACTGTGCCACTGTGCCATGGCTCAGTTGGTTTCTGATGCCTTGCACAAAGAAAGTCGTTGGATCAAATCCCGGCCTGGGGACCTTTCTGGGTAGAGTTTGCATGTTCTCTCCATGCACGTGTGGGTTTTCTCCGGGTACTCCGGCTTCCTCCAACAGACCAAAAACATGACTGTTAGGTTAACTGATAACTCTAAATTGTCCCTAGGTGTGAGTGAGAGAGTGATTATTTGTGTGTCTCTGTGATGGACTTGTGACCTGTCCAGGGTGTACCCC